GCCCGGCCCGGCCCTGTCCGCGCTCCCGGCCTCCCGGCACCCGGGCCCTCTGCGTCCCTCCCCGGCCACCGCCGCCGCCGCGCGCGCCGCTCCGAGCTGCAGTGGCCGCCACCGCCGCCGCAGCTGCAGCGTCTCTTCATATTTCCCGAGCGCCGCCGGCGGGGCTGCCGGGCCGCGGGCTGGGGGAGGAGCCGGGGGAGGAGTCGGGGCGGTGACGCCGCGCCACAGCCTCCTGGGCCGCCGCCGGGGGCCGGGGGCGCGGAGACTTGAAAGGGCGCGTGGGGCACCGCCTCTCCCGCCTCCCTCTCCAGCCTCCTCCCCTGTCCTCCTTTCCAGCCCCTTCTCCTCCTCCCGCCTCCTCCTCCCTCTCCCTCCGCGCCTCCCCCCCCCAAGTTCTTAACCTCCTCCCTCCCGCCAGCATCCCCCTCTCCCAGCCCGGGGCTCAACGCCCCTTTCCTTCCTCCCCCTCGGCCGCCGCGCCCCCGCTGGCCAGGAAAGAGGTGCTCTTCGCCCTCCCGGCCTCCACCCCGGGGAACTCTGGACCCTTTCTCTTGCCTCCGCAGGGGTGGGGGCACCACTTGAGAAAGGTGTTCCGAAAAGGGGTGGGGGGCGCTGCAGGGCTGGGGGATTCATGGAGGGGGTCTGAGAAAAGTCCGCTCGCAAGGATTGGGGTGTGTGGGTGTGTAGGCACGCGCGCGTGTCCGGGCGCAGGAGAGAAAAAGAGACTAGGAGACACAGGAGATTAGTGCAAAGAGGAGTTGAGTTCTGGAAAATTGCTCAGGGTGGGGACGCTGCAGTGCCGGCTCCCTCAGGGGTGCGGTGCGCGCCGACAATCTTATCCCCTGTGAGCAAGGAGCCCTGTCACAGGCCCCAACCTGTGAAGGGAATGGTGTAGGCAACAGGAGCTCTTGCTCTTCTTCCCGAACTTCCAGGAGGCAAATGACTTGTTGAAACACGGGAGAAATCTCCGAGAAACACTCGCTGTCAGTCCCCGAGAAAGTGCACCGAGGCCCCTTCTCTGGTTCTCCGCTCTCCCAGCCCAAATCTTGATTTTTATCTGTGTTCTGTGGGCCTTTGGGTATGGTCAATTTGACAGTGGCTTTTAAGACAAAAGGCGGGAATGGCTTCCACTCTCTCAATTCCCCAGGGCGCGGGTGCAAGCTGTTTCGGTCCATGGCAGCTCCCCTGGTAGGCTGATGTGCCAGGGCCCTCGCATTTCTCTGGAGGCCTCTCCTCTGCAGAGCTCCTCCATGGGCCTTTCACCAGCTCCCAGGAGGTTTCTCCAGGCTCTTAGGCTAAATGTCACCCCCTCCTCACACTGGGATAAGGAGCAGCCACGGGAACAGATGGAATCAAGAGAACATTTCTTGACTCTGCTAGTGCTTTTCATAAATAAAACACTTAAAAAGAATGCCTAATTTCCCAAGAGAGCTCTCTGCCCCTTTGAACAATGTAACAATTCAACTCTTTATGCTCTAGACTTTCAAAACTAGTGGGACCTTAGCAGGGGCATAAAATTTAGTAAAATAGGTAAGAATACATTTGACAGTTTCTACTTTTCCAGTTTTTTTCTTTTTTCTTTCTCTTTTTTTCCCCTGAGAAAGCCATGGGTCTTTTGATGGGATGGTGCTGATACTGTTTGACGTGCTTCAATTTTTATCACCATCATTATCATCTTTCCATCTTTAATGAGAGGGATCATAACATGTACCACCTGCCTGGCTCACAAGGATGTTGTGAGGATTCTGAGCCAATGTTTGCAAATCTCAGAGATGAAAGACTCCCGCTGTGGGAGAAAAGGGAAGGTTGAGCAGGAGCATTCTTTCGTGCTGGGCTTGCTTTGCAGCATCTCTCTGGGCCCACTTTGTTCCTAGTCTCTGGCTTGTCCCAGTTAGGAGGTTTGGGTAGCAGATTATGACTTGTTGGATTTGAATGCTGCCCAAAGGTCAGTCGTGTTTAAAGCAGGAACTTGGTTTCCTCACGAATGTTGGGCAGTTGGAAATGATGTAAACAGCCTACTTGGCTGCTTCAAGCAGAACATTAGCCTTGTCACCAAGAACACATACTAGGCAGTGTTTAGCTTTTCTATGCCTTCTAGTCATTTGATGTTTTAGGCTATCAGCGAATATTTGAAACAAGCAAACAACAGGAGAGAACGTTAGGGATGGTGTGCTTATGAGTAAGCAACTGGGTTGATAGTAATTGAAAAATGTCAAGGTCATTCATCACAGGTTAGCAGAAAAATTAGGTAATATATCTAGTTAAATAATTATTTGATTCTGTGTTTTAAGAAAAAGAAGAAGAAAACCAGCAGGCCAGCCAATAATTTGCTGTCATCTTGACAGTCAAGTTGATTCAATTTTTGTTTTTCCAACTGGTTTTACTGGTGTGGTATAAACATAGCCAGAATGATGTCATCAGCTTAAAATGTGTTTTGCCAGTGTATTTTCTACATGTAGTGTCTTGGATTTAAAGACGTGACCCTCGACCCTCCGCATAATATCCAGCCGGAGTCGCTGCTCCCAGAAATTCCCTCATCGCATCCTGCCTTGTCCCAGCTGTAGGGTTCACTCTCTGTATTCATTTTTACTTTTGCCCTGAGTGTGCTCGCTTCTGGAAGGGAATGATGAAAACAACAGTAGGAATTTGTCTTAGAGTGATTACATAGTACGTGGCTATCTGCTTAGAGTAATAGAATTGGGATGAGGGCCTTTTCTGGGAGGTAATAAGGTGGCTGTGAGCTCCGGCTCAGAAGTGGGCCCCTTGCAACCGGCACAGGGAATTTCCCCAGGCCACTTGCAAGGACCAAGCCTTGAGCAGGAGCGTCGGTGTCAGGTCCTGGTGATAATGGGAGAGTCCTGGCCGGGGCAGCTGGACAAGATACCCTCAGCAGTATCAACCAGTATGTTACAAGAGAGCTACTCATAACTAATTTTGGGCATGTTGATGAGGAAGAGGAAAGTCAAAGGGGCTGAGTTCTCAGGCATGCGGCAAATCAGAGGCGCACTTGGAACTCCTGTGATTGTTCCGTCACCAGCTCACGGGGCCTCTCACATGCTTAGGGAGTGGTCTTTTCCCATAAACACTGCTGATCCTAACTCAGAGCCTCTTTAATCGGCTCCGGCTCTGAGTCAGAACCACCCTTTGCTCTTCCCCCAGTCACTCCAAATCATGAGCACATTTTCTGGAATGGACTGTGCTGGCCACATAGCTCGAGTGATCACCTTGGCTTGGTTTTCTTAGGAGGGTGTCTCAAGTATTAGTGAGCAGAGTAGGGGACAGCTCAACTGCATCGTTATCCCAGGAGGCACAAGGACCAATGTCCTTTAAAACCTGTGCCAAGATTTGGTTTCCAACTGACTAAAGATGTATAATCGTGCAAGTCATTTGCAACTTTGGAGATTCCATGTTTTTCAGTTCTCGAAGAAAATGATAGTTTCAAGAAGGGTCAGAGGAATGAAAACGTGAATTCTGAAATGTATTCAACTATGAATAAGGTTGAAAGCATTTTACTACTGCTGCGTCCTCAGAAGATGGGAAGTGTCACTGAGAATAGACTTTTTGTGAAACTTGCTGGACGTCAGTGCCCAGCCTGTGACACTGTGGAAATGCCTCTGAGTGTGAGAGGCTGGAGGACAGGAATGGTGTCTAGTCATGACTCAACCCCTTTGAGCATCTGTGTCAGAGTTTTCATTTTTTTTTTTGTCTGCAGCAGGACTTCAATAGTTGATAAAGACATTACATTTAAAAAATCTTATACAGCTTCCTTAGGAGGCAGAGCTAATGACATTAATCCTGAGGAGTCCTTAGGGACATACATCTGAGTTACATTTTTAAAATACATTAGGTAGAACAAACTCTATTTTGAAAATAAAGTAAGTTTAGATGTATTTCTGAGCGACATGGTCTTCTGAGCTTCAGAAATTAAAGGTTACATTCCATTGTATCTTCATGGCGGTTATCAGAAGAAACCACTAAAACGTTTGTGAGCTTAGCATTCATTCATTCATCCAGTCATCCATCCAACATGTGACCACTTGAATATAGATATATATGTACAATCATCCCAAAATAGGGAAAGAGATGCATGAGGATGGCCCAGCTTACCCATCCGTTCATCCCATGTCACAAGTCTCTGCGGGGCCAATGACGAGACTTGGGACCCTTAACGCCAAAGGAAAATATGAGATCAACAGGGACAGGAGACAATAAAGGACCTCAGTAACATTTTTTGTCTATATGTTCATGTGCTCCTTATAATATTCTTTCTTGGTTGCCCTGTATGTCTAACTGCTTGATCTGCTTAACGAGATTACTTGGCTCTTTGAGGGCAGGAAGAAAATTGGGTATTATGTTTGCCTCTCCTCCCCCCAAGTCCCTTCACAAATCTTTCCATAATGGGCATTTGTTGGGCTGGTAGATGAGGCAGGATAAGATCAGACCATCAAGAAAGAGTCTTTATGAGGCCAACACCACCCTAAGCCACCACAGCACACAACTACAGAAACAGGAAGACACAAAAACACTGGTATTCAATCCGAGCACGCCCTGTGTTGTTATGGCGCACATAGCAACGCTCAAACATGTTTGTCAAATGAGAGGCAGTGTGGCACGCTTGGTAAGGAGCCAGATTCACCAGGCTCAGGTCTCGCAGCTAGAGGACCTTGGGCAAGTTACTTAACGTGGCTGTGAAATGGGAATGAGAGTAGCATATACCTGCACAGAGTCAAGCGCTATGTAAGCGC